GAATCTACCTATACATATCTATGGGTACAACAATGAGCATGATGTTATTGTTTACACGGTCGTTAAGGATATGCAGAGAGAATGTGAGCAGCCATGCCATCGTTTTCAAAAGTCTCCGTTTTGGTCCACTGAAACACCACCCCAGAGTTTTCAAACTAAAACAGGGTCTGCAGCATTTTCAAAAGTCTCCGTTTTCAACCTCGAAAACGCCGGAGTAGACTTGTGCCGGTATTCGGTAATGCGATATATCACGGTAATGAATATGCACGATATTGTTATCGTGGGCACTTCTAAATACCATGAATAATTATATATTACAAATTATTCCGAATTTTGAATGCAATTTAAGAATACTTTTCCTATCAGATGGTCAAAATGCACAACACCGCTGTATGCTGCGTGAGAGACGCGTGCGCACTCTGAGGTAAACAAGCGCGGACGTGAAGCACATGGCGGAACATGTGAGAGACGCTCTGGATGAAAGCGCACTTTCACTCTCTGACAGCAGATGGCGCTAAACTGCAGAAATAATAATAATAATAATTCATTTAAATGCAGCCCTTACCCCGGAAACCCTGTAAACAAAGCAGCTGCACTACTTCCTGTTTCGGAATCATGTTTAAATGATTTAAATAGCCATTCAGATTTGTGTATTTGCTATGATGTTCATCACAGCGCCAAATACTTAAATATTTAGACTTAATAGGCTATTTATTTTCAAACTTTTTTTTTACATTTTAATCTGTACTACAACATGCCCTCGATATTGTTTGAAAGTGTTTTGATTTTTTATTGTTCGGTCACACTTTACATTAGGGCTTCATTAGCTTCATTAGTTTAATTCATTAGTTAACATAAACTGCCAATGAAAAATTCTTCTGAACATTCATTAATCTTATTAATCTTAAATATTTAATAACACGTTGTTAAAATCAAAAGTTGCAACTGTGTTATTTAATGAGCTAACATGAACTAAGACTTGTATTTTTTAAACAAAGATTAATAACTTCTGTAGCAAATGTAGCTATTGCTCATTGTGAATGTTAATGCATTAACTAAGGTTAACTAATGAGATCTTATTGTAAAGTGATACCTATTGGTCTTTATAGTTCTTTTGCACTTTAATCTGTGTAAAACTTTTAACTTTATACATTTTTCTGTATTGCTTTATTGCATTTAAATGTTCAGTTATTTTTGTTACAAGAAAAAAAGTTATTAAACCTGTTATACTCC